TCAGCTCCAGGTCCTCTGCACGGAGTGGATGTCACCATCGGCCTCCGTGACTTTGACATTAAGGAGGTCCTCGAGCAACAAGTCGCATACTCTTTCGCCTTCGCCTTTTTGAGCAGCTGCTCCAACTTCTCGATCGACGGCTTCGAGACATCGTGGTCCACGTTAGGCGGCATGACTACCACCCCACAGGAATCCAAGTCTGCATGTGCTTCGGGATAAGTTGTGCAGAAACACAGCAGGGACAACGTGCACTGGATGCACTCCCTTATGATGCAGACCAGCTCGACTCCGTGTTAATCGTCATACATGCGATGCTGCCTTCCTTACTCGATGCGGTAGCTACATCCGATACTCTCTGCCCAGCTTCTGCTTTGCCTTCAGAAGGCAGGGTTCACTGTACCAGTCTATCTGGAACCCTAAGCCATGGCGGCGGCGAGTATGCGGAAATCCGAAATCCTCCGATCTCAGCATACTAGCCGCCGCCAAGGTGCAAAAGGTTCCAACGGGACACAGCCACGTAGCCAACAGGTCTGTCCAACCTAACAGCGAAACAACGACATGTATGCAAAGTGACGCCATAGAAGTCGCCAAGGCACGACGTGCAGTTCCAACCAGGATTTAATCAACCACAAGGGATGCCACCACCTTTGAACCAGGAGCTTGGAGAGATCGCAAACAGCCGTAACGCCAGTAGAAGGGAATTCATGCACGCAAGCTTCGCACGCTCGCCCACGAGCGGCGCCTGCGTGGGCTCGTCGATCTCTTCTCGCCTGATTGCATGCGGAAACTTTGAACGAGGACCCAGCAAGACAATGCCATGAATGCGAAGGACCCGAGACTGGCTATAGGCGAGCTGCTCTCGTCGCAACTGTAAGTGCAGATGCATCACCGCTATCACGTCCGTCGTGTGCACAGACAGCCTATCCGTGCGATTACAAGAGACGCCACTGAAGAATCTGTTTACTTATTTGCCGATACGTCAGCATGCAAGAAACGCAGCAATGCATCTGCAATGGGCGCCGCGCAGACCTGTCTTTGGTGTTTACCCGCGCGAACAGAGCAGGATCCCACTTCAGGAGACTTGTCACGTCTGACACTAGGGCACGAGTCCCTCTGTACATTGAACCAGCCGAAACCGAGCAGCCCGCGACACAGGAATACATGCTGCGATGCCCAACTGAACTTCTTACGGGCTCGTAGATCATGTACTATACTAGGTAATCAGATGCGAAGACAATACAGAATAAGCAAAGCTCGACTCGTGCAACATCACGCTCGGGAACATGCGTGACCGCCACACCAGTCTGCTGGGGGGCGTGCAGAAACTGCCTTGTCTGGCCTCTGAACAGCATAACTGATACTGCTGCACATTGAAACTGTGGCCACAAGACCTCTGTAGTTGAAAGAGCAGCAACGCGTCGTGGGGCATGCCTACATACACAGACACACACCATGCCTGGCCGCTTTGCGCGCTGCATGGCTAGATGCACTGTCGCGCACGGGACGGCCGCATGTACTGTATCTCGGATGGGTCCCTGCCGGAGGCGAACACTGAGATGCGACAACAGGAGCTAGATTCCAGCCTCGCCTTGGCTATATTCTACACACGACTCAGAACTAGTCAGTTCCAGCAGACTTTGCTACTTTTCGAATACTACAAAGGCACTTCGGCCGCCTGTTCGCCTCGCCAGGCAGGCAATCATCTGGACATCAAAATACCCGCACTGCCGGATGCTCTGCGTCACGGATTCCTGTAGCCCCGTCCCGGCTGCCTTCTGCCACAGGTGCAGCCACGATATGTACATTGAAACAAGCTCATGCAAACCGCATCGCTTCCAGTTCAAGGACCACTCACTACGATTGGTTGTCAGAGATGTGTGGCATCCCAAGACAGATACGAATCAAGCTTAGTTGAGAGTTGCGGAAGACGTTTCGGGTAAGGGGTTCAGGGTTCAAGGGTTCAGACTGGCAGCGTCGAGGTTAAGCAGACAACAAAAGCTGCTCGGTGCCGACTGGAACGACTGGCAGTCCGACGAAGCTGCAAACCCCGGCTCTTGGGTTCTAGGGTTTTAAGGGTTGAAAGTTTCGGGCTTAGAGTTTAGGACCCAAGCAAACCGCAGTTTTCGCACAGGAGCCTCAGCCCTAGGGCGAGGTAGCCTGCACCTAGACATCCCAGAAACGCCGGCTCCAGAAAGGAAACGGGCACTGTGGCACACAAACACGATGCTCCCACTGGATCAAAAGGGC